TTTTTAAATTTAGCACGTTTTTTAGTTCTAAATATTTTTTCTCAGTGCATGAACTTTTCGTTTGTTTTACCCCTTCTTCACCAGTCATCGATAAAGCAGTCGTTGTACTTAACCGGAGCTTCTACCTCCGATTTGTGTTAATCAGACATTGAACAACCAGCCCTTGGTCAACCAACACCAACGAAATGCGTTTTCGGGTTGTAAAAGATGTTTGATAAATGAAAAATAATTTTCCTTATTTTTGACGAAACGAATTTCTGTTGCCGGAGCGTAACTAAAACACTTAATGAAAACAAGTAATTTTTACAAAAAAAAACCGACTTCAATTCTCATACAAAAATATATTTCATGATCCAATGATCGGATCTTAACTAGATTAATATGGGACCACCTCTGAGACACTACCTTTCCAATGCAAAAAGAATTGTCGAAATCGGTTGACGTGATCGAAAGATATGCGGTAACATATGTACATAAAAAAAAATATTTCGACGAACTGATAACCTCCTCCTTTTTTGGAAGTCGGTTAATTAAAATAAATCTGCGTTTCTATGCTATTATCTTTGTATATGGGCAAATCTAAAAAAAACAAGTAACCTTTGCGTTATTTAGCTTTATTTTCACTGTTGTAAACTATATCAAGCTGGTTGCTTTTGGATATAATTCATTGACGTATACTTGAAGCCTCAAAAAAAATTTGGATCAATTTGCTGCATAACTTTTGAATTGCAGCTATTTAAATTAAAACAAATAATGAAAACAAATGAATTTTTTATGTAATTTTTAGAGGGGCACAATTAATTATGTAATAACTTTTGAACCACACCATATTATGATTTGTAATTTAATGGGCACTTAGTACTTATGTGTACACTTCACACTGTTTACCCCGTGCAGCAATTTCTTAATATCCACAAACCGGAGCATTGACTACTGCAGCCATCAAAACATGGAAGTTAAATACGTCTAATTTTTGTTCAAGAGTTTGCCAATGCATTTATAACTTCTTTTAAATCTTTGGGTTTAAAACCTCCTGAAACAGACGGCGATAGAGCATGCAGGACAAAACACGTCCTCAGTGCTCTCATGACGACAATGGAGTCATCGGCTTCTTCAGAAAGTGATGCAGATGAGGAGCTCTCAGTTTTGTTAAGGCTAAAAGATTACAACGCCTATGAATATGGAATCTGTTTATTTGCCAAAAGGAATCCACGGAACTGTATTCGTAACTATATGGAGCTTACAGATCCGGGTATCCAAAAGTATTTTTGAAAATCTTTGTGTAAGGTTTTTGAGCTCGGACTGGTATCGGAATCTACGTGGCGACAAAAAAAATTCCGGAGAAAGTGCATTTGTTGGTTTTCTTGTGGTTCGCCGGTCACGAAGGTTGCTGCTACAGAGACTTAGCGGACCGGTTTAACCATTATTTATCCACGATTTGCCTTATAATAAAAATAGTTAAATTTTTTTTAAGCTCTTTAAGCCCTCAAGTCATTACCTGGCCAACACAAGGGAAAAAGGAAGAATAAAGCTCTTTTTTTCATTCTAAATGCTATTTTTCCAAAGCAATCGGTAAAGTTTAAAACCTCAGTGTATTTTCAAGTTAATTATATGTATTTTTTATTAAAATAGATCCACCAAAAAGGGGGAAGGATATATTTTTTATTCAGGGATTCATAGATGGAATCCATATTAAAATAGATCCTCCAAAAAGGGGGAAGGATGACTATATTAATAGAAAAGGCGTAACATCGATTTGTTCGCAAGGTGTCTGCAATGAAAATAAAAAAATCATAAATATTTTCGTTGGTTATCCAGGATCCCGTCATGCCAGTTGGGTGTTTAAGAATTCGACACTCTACAATAAATCATTATGTGGAGGTAGTATTATTAAAATCGATATAATATTAAATATTTACGTCTCGAATATTTTTTCGAATACTATCTATTGGGCGATTCAGCATAGATACGTAGTCACTCCATACCGTGATAATGGTCACCTGACAAGAGCGGAGAAAAGCTTTAATGCTAAATTAAGTTCTGGTCGTTTTGCAATAGAAAACACATTCGGAATTTTAAAGCAAAGATTTAGACAGCTTTACCCAGCTAAATTGCGAGGGATGCAAAAACTTTGCCATTTCGTAAGAGCTTGTTGCGTTTTACACAATACCGCCCACGAGGACGATCTGTAATTCACTTTAGAGACAAATTCAGAAACAGTCGACGAAGTTACACTACATGGCGAAATTTCTAGGGGAAATATGTGAAGCCATACAATTCCATCAAAATCAGAATATTTAATTTTTTCCCCAAATCCTCATTCATTTGTTTGTACGAACTCATTTTTGTTTCAGTCTTTTGTAATACATGCCAGGGATGTTGCGAATGTGGAATTTTAGACATCTGCGGATGCGAATGCGGATGCGGATGTTTAAACGTTAACATCCGCGGATGCGGATGCGAATGCGGATGTCAAGTATTTTTACACCCGAGCACACTTGTGCACAAGGGTATTATAAATTTGTTCACATAACGGTTGTTTGTAACAGGCAAAACGAATCGAGATAGATATAGACAAATATATACATTAATGATCAGAATGAAAAGAGAAATCGATTAAGCGGAGACTGTTTGTCCGTCCGTCCGTCCGTCTGTGTGCACGATAACTCGACTACAAATTGAGATATCTTAACGAAACTCGGAATCGGATCGGATCGGAAGATAACCACGTCCATCTCCCATATAAAGGTAGTTTTGAGAAATACGAAAAATGCGATATTTTAGTAACTACTGAAGCTTATTCACTCAAAATTAATATTTACAATCATTTTTAGGCGAAAAATAAGAATATTATAAATTTATGGAAAATGGGCGTAGCCGCGCCCACTTATGATTACATCTGTATATCTTTGGAACCGCTCCACCGATTTCTCCCAAACTTGGCACAGTTTTTGGCCTTCACAAAACATACCAAATTGCTTAAAATTTAGAAAATCGGATAATAACTACGCCCACATCCCATATAACGGTAATTTAGAGAAATACGAAAGCTTCTTCTCTTCTTCTTATTTGGCGCTGTAACCGCCTAAGCGATTTTGGCCGAGTCCAAAACAGCACGCCAGTCATTTCTCTTCTGTGCTAACTGACGCCAATTGAAAATGCCAAGTGAAGCCAAGTCCTTCTCCACCTGGTCTTTCCAACGCAGAGGAGGCCTTCCTCTTCCTCTGTTACCAGCATCGCGGCCCGCGTTGAATATTTTCAGAGCAGGAGCGTTTCTGTCCATCCGAACGACATGGCCAAGCCAGCGGAGCCGCTGAATTTTAATTCGCTGCACTATGTCTATATCGTTGTAAAGCTCATACAGCTCATCGTTAAATCGTCTGCGATATTCGCCATCACCAACGCGTAAAGGTCCGTAAATCTTTCGCAGAATCTTTCTCTCGAAAACTCCAAGAGCCGCCTCATCAGATGCTTTCATTGTCCATGCCTCCGCGCCATACACCAGCACAGGCATGATGAGTGACTTATAGAGTGTGATCTTTGTACGACGAGAGAGGACTTTACTTCTCAATTGCCTACTCAGCCCAAAGTAGCACTTGTTGGCAAGAGTGATTCTCCGTTGGATTTCAAGGCTGACATTATTATTGGTGTTAATGCTGGTTCCCAAATAAACGAAGTCGTCTACTTTTTCAAACTTGTAACTGTCAACAGTGACGTGGGTGCCAAGACGCGTATGCTCTGACTGTTTGTGTGCTGACAGGAGATACTTCGTTTTGTCCTCGTTCACCACCAGACCCATTCGCTTTGCTTCTCTATCCAATCCCGAGAAGGCAGAACAGACGTAGCCCTTGTTTTTACCGATAATATCGATGTCGTCGGCATACGCCAGCAATTGTACGCTCTTATAAAGTATTGTGCCTGAGCGGTTCAGTTCTGCGGCTCTTATTATCTTCTCCAACATAAGATTAAAGAAATCACACGAAAGGGGGTCCCCTTGTCTGAAACCTCGTTTGGTATCAAACGGCTCGGAGAGGTCTTTCCCTATTCTGACGGAGCTGGTGGTATTGCTCAACGTCATTTTACACAGCCGTATTAGTTTCGCGGGGATACCAAATTCAGACATCGCGGCATAAAGGCAACTTCTCTTCGTGCTGTCGAAAGCGGCTTTGAAATCGACAAATAGATGGTGTGTGTCGATCCTATTCTCGCGGGTCTTTTCCAAGATTTGGCGTATTGTGAATACCTGATCTATGGTGGATTTTCCAGGCCTAAAGCCACACTGATAAGGTCCAATCAGCTCGTTGACGGTGGGCTTCAGTCTTTCGCACAATACGCTCGATAAGACCTTGTAACCTATGCTTAGAAGGCTAATTCCGCGGTAGTTGGCGCGTATGGCGGGGTCGCCTTTCTTGTGGATTGGGCAGAGCACACTTAAATTCCAGTCGTCGGGCATGCGTTCATCTGACCATATTCTGCATACGAGCTGATGCATGCACCTCATCAGCTCCTCGCCGCCGTACTTGAATAGCTCGGCTGGCAGGCCGTCAGCTCCAGCAGCTTTGTTGTTTTTCAGCCGCGTAATCGCTATACGTACCTCGTCATAGTCAGGCGGTGGGACAGCTACTCCATCATCATCGACTGGGGACTCGGGTTCGTCTTCCTCACTACTTTCAGCGCTGCTACCATTCAGTAGGTTATAAAAGTGTTCCCTCCACAATTTAAGTATATTCTGGACATCGGTCACTAGGTCGCCATTGTTGTTCTTACAGGAGTTCGCCCCGGTCTTGAAACCTTCCGTAAGTCGCCTAACCCTCTGGTAGAATTTTCGGGCGTTCTTCCTGTCGGCCAGCATCTCAAGCTCTTCGCACTCACGTATTTCGGCCTCTCTCTTCTTATTGCGGCAAATACGTCTCGCTTCCTTCTTCAGTTCCCTATAACGGTCCCACATGGCTCGCGTTGCGCCCGATCGCAGCGTGGCCCTGTAGGCGGCATCTTTTTTCTCTGCGGCTTCTTGACATTCCTCATCGTACCAGTTGTTCTTTCGGGCTCGCTGAAATCCAACTACTTCTTCGGCGGCGGTACTTAATGATCGGGAAATGTGGTTCCACTGCTCGCGTACGTCGGATTGTTGAAGAGTGCTCTCAGAGAGCAGGTGTGTGAGTCGAGTGGCGAATAGAAAAGAAGCATACGAAAGCTTCTATAAATCAGTAAATACTGAAGCTAATTTAGTCAAAATTGATTTTTGCTATAATTCTTTAGCAAAAAATAGGCTTAAAATAAAAGGTTGGAAAATGGGCGTGACCCCGCCCACTTATAACCACATATGTGTATCTCGGTAACCGCTCGATCAATGTGTACCAAACTCGGTATGATTATTGTGGTTGCCACATAAAGGCAAAACGTTGAAAGTTTTGAAATCTGACTAAAATTACGCCAACTTTTCTATAACGGTAAATTTCAGAAATGTTTGAAACTTTGATATTTCGAAAGTTTAGGAAGCTAATTTTACCCAAAATTGATACTAACAACAATCCCTTGAAAAGAAGTACCACTATTATGGAATTTTGGAAAATGGGAGTGGTGCCGCCCACATATATCTATATAAGTTTATCTCATTATATCTAACTGAACGTTCTATCGAAGAGGTTTGAAATGGACGTAAAACCACCACTGCTTACCATGTAACGGTAGTCTTCGGAATGGTAAAAAAACTATATTGAATACTTGCGCCGGGTATTTAATGTTCGGCTCCGCCCGAACTTAGACTTTTTCACTTGTTAAGAAATAATTTAGGTGAGTAAATTAGGTGAATTAGTTAAATAAAAATGGAAAGGTTAGTAATTTTTAATAATGTTTTTTTTTTAGTATTTGAATTCAAAAATTGGAACATAGTATTCAATAAAAAGTTTTTAAAGGGTAGTAAATCAAACCTGCGCCACTAAATAACTACTACTAACTAGGCGACAAACTTGAAAAACTTGAAGCTTGACAAAATTGTAAATTTTTTTCGATTGACGCTGCACCAGTTGAGAGGTCTTTCAGTTATTTTTTTTTTTATTGCGGTGCAATAATTCTTTATTGAGGATTGCATCGGGCTGCAAATGTCGGATGTATCCTCCTGACTTCCATCTTCACAATCTTGTATCATGGCAAGATCGTTGTTTAAACACTGTTGTTTTACAAAGAATTCTTCATTCTCATTCTTTTGGTTGTTTCTGAATTTGAAGAACCTGTAACGTCAACAGCATTTTTCGATTTTGTTTTTGTAATACATTTCTAATCCTTTCTTCTGTGACTGAAATAGCTTTTAAGCAGAAATAACTAAAGAAGGTTACCACCTTTATTTGTATTTTTTTATCATTTAATACTAAAGAAATTCATATATCAGACCCAAGGTTTGATCTATGGTAATTAATGAACATTGTTTATTGAAATATTTTAGACATCGTTTAGACATTTCCTTCATTTGGTACCAAACTTGTTTAATTTGGATAAGCGGTTTGTTTATTATCCGGAAAACACCTTTAATTGGGAATAAAAAATATTTGGCCAAGTTTAGCTGGTAAAAAAAAAAAACTTTTATTTTCGGGCCCTTCAATATTCGCATTCGCAAAAGATCCGCATTGATTATTGCGAATGCGAAAGCGAATGCGAATGGTAAAATTAATGCGGAAGCTCCGCGGTTGCGAATGCGAATGTGAATATTCGCAACAACCCTGATACATACATACTAATTATATTGCATACATATGTATGTATTTCCATATATTCCATTACATTTTTGATATGTACACTTATGTTACATTTTTGATATGCACTATCACTTATATTTTAAGTTTGTGAAAGAGCCATTAGTTACTTATGCGCCAAATACACCACACAAGTATTTGCGCAAATACCAATTAGTGCAAATAAGAATTCGAATAATTAAAATTAATTTGAAAAAAATATTGTCAAAATCAATTAATATATCGTGCCACCCAGCCAGTCAAAGGCGGAGCGCTCCTAATATGGAGTGAAAAGGGACTCCCTCAGCGACTCCTCGAAGGAGCGTTTTCGGAACGCTCCGAGTATGGAGTGAAAAGGGACTCCCTAAGCAGCACCTCGTAGGAGCGTTTTCGGAGCACTCCGAGTAAGGATTTAAGCTGATGCCACATAAAACTTTTGCTTCGCTTTACGTGACAGATTCGCTTTGACAGATAAGATGAATTGTATGAAAATGCACAAAGCATGCCACATAAATCGTTGAAGCTGCAGCGCGAAGCGAAAAGATGGCCAACTCCCATCTTTTTGCGCGCTTTGACAATCAGCCGGTTTAATATTTATTTTGTTTCGTCCAAATTCGGGTTTTCATGCAGAAACATAAAACTTAATTACATTGCTGATAATTTTAAAGCAAAATATATAAAATCCACAGCAACTTTTACGAGTAAAACAGCGGTACAAAATTGCTTTCTTGGCGTTCATTGTGGCATACCATTTGCGTCTGGCGCTTTGCTGGCGAAGTTATAAATGTCACGCAAAGCTACAAAGTTTTATCTGGCATCAGCTTAAAAAGGGAGGCAAAGTGTTTTTTTTATCTTGTTTATAGTTTTTTTGCATCTAGTCTATAAGATTTTTTATGTCATAGACTGAACAAATTTTAAATCAATTGAATTTTTATAAGTGAAAAAAAAAAGTGTGCGGTAAATTCGGTGTCCGGTAAATGACAACGTCGCACAAGTTAGCCGGAAAAAAATATTTTATTGGTTCTAATGCTTGAATTTGTCGTAAAAAGTGGCCATAAAGAAATGCAGCTTGATCGGCGATCGATTGGATGGCTCCAGAGGTCCTTTGAGGAGGGTTTGTAGCAAAAACGGTATATTGAAGGTATCTATATATAAATACGTCACAATAAAATTTGAACCCCTCTTTTGAGGGCATTGTTCGCTCGATTTCAATGAAGCATATCTTTAATCCAGAAATGTTAGTCCCATTATACAGGGGGCGTGGCATCTGACATACATACTAAAATGTGAAAATCGATATATCCCTAAACCCATTTATGCTGGGGAACTGAAACTTGGCACGGCGAAAAATGATAGGTATTGAAAATGGGGGCGTGGCACTTCCCATATTTACTTTAGGTTGTTGTGGCAGACTCCGCACCAGGGGGACACACTTAGACATTAATTAGATTGTCTATTGTGTTACCACCTTACACAAGTTCTTTGAACGGCAACTAAGATATTCTGTGTTAAAAAACTAAGAGAAGCGCTGGGTGCTCAGAACAAAGTTCCGCAGGCAGCTGATGTCCACTCCGGAGAGCTTTTCAGGAGTGTCGAAGAAATGAGCACCGAGGTGCTTAAATCTTAGTATTACGAATGCCGGGCAACTGAGAAGGAAGTGCTGAGATGANGGGTCTTGAGATAAAATAAATAGAAATCTTTTAGAAACAATGCTAATGGTGTATTAAATATGGTGTTTTCTAGTGGAATGAGAGCCAAAATCCAAAATTTCAAAAACAGTGACATTTTGAACGGGATTTTGAGGGTTAAGTTATTATTGTTGTAACTTCTCTATAGTTTTTCTATATTATATGATCATTTATCTTCACGATAAAAAAAATTTCATTCCATTATCTCTTTTCTAACCGAAGATCTACGATTTTGAAAAAAAGCTCGTGTTTTGCGTATAGTGCGCCGCCCTCCAAGCTAACCGTCACAATGTCCTCATTGCTGAAATTAGGTAAAATTAGTGCTTTGAATTCGTTCAGCATCTTGGTCTACCTGCTGGTTTCTGCACCATCAGCTTAAATTTAGGCGTCCTAATCCCGGAGATACCGCTACTGCTCAGCCACGGCTCCTCGATCAGGACTACGTCGGGTCCACCTTGCTCAAGGTGGATGAGGAGATTTGCGGACGCCGCCTTAGAGTGTTGGAGATTTATCTGCAGGATCTTCATCCTCAAAAGTTTTTTTTTTCGTTTACCGAGGCTAGAAGCCTCTCTTCCTCCGCCCTGTCATAGAACCGCCCGATGCTGATAACGGATCCCTCGGTTGAAAGAGCATCCCCAGCACTTTCGGCTTCTGACGTGACGGATTCTACCTCCATGCTCATGGGGGTTTCTTCCCTCTCGGGCTTGCCCATCGTCGGCACCTCCGGAGGTTGAGAGCCATTGGTAGACCCTAAGGACTACCATTTCGAAGCCATAAGTTAGGACTCCGCGTTGGGTAATATCTGTTGGGGAAGGAACAATAATGGGGGTATATAGTACATTTGATCCCTTTAAAAGCAACTATTGGGTAGGTATGACCCTTTTTTCGTATTTCATCACAGACTCTGCTTGATATATTGTGGAGTTTAACATTGTTGCAAGGTCGTGCAAGGTCTGGCTTAAGTAGTATCTAAAAGAAGATATCATGAAGAGCTTCACAAAAAATTTTAAGAAAAATACATGACAATACAGTGTTTAGATTGTCAAAAAAAGTTCGACTTTGTTGATAATTGTTGACGAAAAAACGCCTAATTTTGACACATTACTCTAGCTACGTCCATCATCATATATTAATTGTTTTTATGTCATAAAAAAGAGCATCGTTTTCTATGTCAGATACATTTTTTCCAGCTTCTTGGTGCACCACTGTGAGGAACAACAGACCACTTTTTAAAAATGTCTATTTGATTTTTGTACTTTTCAAAAAACAAAGTTTCAAAACTTCAAATTTGACCAACAAAAAAAATAACAAAGTGGGCTCTCAAACGCCAAAGCATAATTTTCTCTATGTAATTGGACATTTCTTAACAAGTTGGAATTATCAAAACATCAAAATCCCATTTTGATTTTTTTCCGGCTAAACTCGTCATATGGCTCATTGTGCGTCGCTTCGGAATATTCGTGGAAAGGGACACCGCCAAAGAAGCTATTGACATTTTGGCTGTTGCGAATGCATTCAAAGGTGAAAAACTACAAATACAAATTACTTTAGGCTAACTTTAGAATTTTTCAGGCGCATTTAATAGGAAATTTTCTGGTTCTGGAAAATAATTTAATAGAGCGAGCCCAAATAATAACGGAACCTTTCTTTTCCAATGTATTCTACCTTGGTTTTAAATTCGAAATCCAGCCCGCTTTCGAAAAAAATTTTTGTGAAAGGGAGCTTATCTTTCCTTTAGACAATGGCTTAAGTTCAGCGATGGGCAGAGAGAGCTTTTACTCTGCTCGCGCCTATACAAAATGTATAGAAAGCTTAAGAGAACCTTGCACGCGGGCAAGGCAGTGCCCATCAGTGCTTTAGTTGCTTTTAAAAGCTTCAAATAAGCCTTTTGCTATAAACATATATTTTACGCTTTTAAACTTATTGCATGTTCTTTTTCAAAACTCCGTTAAAAATGCTTGTTAGATCAGACTTCAGCTATTAAAAGCAATGTCTATTCAAGTTACAAAAAGAAAGAGGTAATATGTATATTTAAACAAAGCAATCTGATTTTTGTTAACTTTTCGCGTTTGCCCTTAAAATACTTGGAAGTACGAGTATTATCGATACTTTTTTGCAAATATGAATCGTGGCAGCGATTCTTTTTTAGAGTATTATAAATGAGTACTAGTATCGATACTTTTCTAAAAAGTTCTATCACTAGCCTTTAGCAGGTGAAAACTCTTGACTACTGGAAATATATTAGATATGTTATTAAATATAATATTTGTTTCATT